TCATCTCGATTAAACTAGATTTTGCTATCTGCTAGATGCTCCATCTGCTTTCTTCGTACTGAACTTTGATGGATTTATATCATAATGATCATTTACTCCATGAAAGAAGCTCTGCATATGAAATCAAAAGGATTTATGACTGTACATCAGAGGCAGATAGTGAATGATGTATGAAAATGAAGCTGCTCCTTTTTGACCTTAAATATCAAATATTTCGTAGATTACTACTCATTTTGGTCTGTTGGTTTGAATATCAAATATTTCATAGATTACTACTCATTTTGGTCTGTTGGTTTGAAATTTTGGCTATCAATTAAGAGATTTTGGATTCGAGTCATCCATATGTGATGTGTATGAGTTTCTGTTAATTGACCTAAATATTTCCAAAAAAAATCATGGAGCAGAAAGAATAGCTGATTTGATTGCAAGTAAAACGTTAGAGCAACTATTTCGACCCTTCTGCAATATAATAGCAGAGTAATCTTATATTAACCTTATTATTGTTTTGATTCAACGGTTTTCTTGCATTTAGCACTTATTTTTATATGTTTATTTTTGGCAGTTCATAAATTTTGATGAGAGTAATTTGGTTGTTTAATTGGCAGTGATTAAAGTTTGATTATGATGGATCGTGAATTTGATGATTTTTTTTTGAGATGTGTATAATGTAGGAGTAATCAATTAAAAATATAAATTATATTTATATTAAAATAAACTTAAAATTTTGAGACTCACATTCATAGAAATGATTAGAATATCTTGGGGCTGTTTGGTTCGATTGCTTTAAGGTCTAAAGTATTTCAAATGTAAGGGTTTTCAAATTTTAGTGCTTGGTTAGAATACAAAATGAGGCAAAGTAAAATAGTAAATGTAATGTAAAATGAAGTTATTTATTTTGACTGTAAAGCAAACTTCTCCGATTTTGAGTGAAAATTGTTTACTCCCAAACTTGCTTGATCGTTGCCCATCACTATTCACCGCCTTCTGCTACTGGCCGCCGTTGGCCATTGGCAACCATCGGCGACCCCATCACCTCAGCTATTGCCCATCCCCGCCACTGTCGTCGCCACCAACATCGACCAACTTCTCTGGTCACCGCCACTGCTGTCCGTAGTTGCCGCCAGTGGCCCCCCGCCGTCTCCATTGCCACCCACCGTCGGTCGCCATCATTTAGGACTTTACGTTCATTAGTTTTAATTTAACGAAAAACATCATTACACACATTCATTCAAATAACTCCAAAATATTTCTTTTACAGTGCATTATTTTTTAAGACAAAGAAATCCAACCAAACAGTCTTTTTTTTGTACCTAATTGATGCATTTTTCTCTTTGTTATATTTGTGAAAAATATTATGCCAGGACATTCTATGTATTTTCGTCAATTTTTTTTTAATAAGAGAAGTGTTCTCGAAAAAATTAATAATTTTTTTAATGTTTTAAGGTCTATTTCATAAGACTCAAAATTTCATATAAATATTTTTTAAATTTATTATTTATTTTTTAAAAAAATTGTGAAAAGTTTTCAAATTTTTAATATTATGTAATAAGTATAAACTTATGAGAGCAAATTTCATTAGATTTTTATATTGATTATTCAAAATTTAAATATTATTTTAAAAATATCTATAAATTTATAATTTTTCCTTGAAATTTTGAATTAAAAATTGAATATATTAAACTTAGAATTTATATTCCCTTAGTGCTTCTGTTTAACAGAGGAATTATGATATTTTGCTGAAGATTTGAACTATTATTTGTTCAAAAGCTTCATTAAGGGGTCATTTATAAAATTTTATGTTAGGCAATATTCCAAAATTCTCCTATGGATTACAAAATTTTATCATTTGCTCATAACAAAAAGTTAGCTCATTAATTACAATGTTTAAATCAACCTAATCTCATTCTATCATTGATCATGTTTTAATTAAATTGTCATTAATATCAGAAAAAATAATTATTAATTTATCATAATCTGAAGAAGTAAAAGAAATATTATATGAAGAGTAGATTTCAATGGTTAATACATTAATAATTAATTACACCTTACAAAAATAAATAATTAAATTATGACACTAATTTTGTTAAATAAATAAATAATATTAATTTTTTTTTTCTAAAAATGTAATTTATAGCTTTTCCTTTTCAAAATCAAAAAGAAAAACCCCATTAATGATATAATGTATATAAAATAATAAATAATAAAATAGATCTGTTTAAACATTATAATATTCTATTAAACTGAATGAAAAACAAACTAATTTTTTTGTTTAATAAAATTTTGAATTAATTTTCTCTAATGAAAAGTAAATTAGTTTAAATATTCCCTGAAAAATAAATCAATTATTTTTTTAATTAAGTTAAAAACATAATATAAAATTAGAGAAAAATATCAAACTTATCTTATAATATTTTTAAAGGATCATTTAATTTTCTTTTTAAAAAATTATTTTAATTCTTGAGTTCATTTTCTATTATAATATTAAAAATTACACTTCTATTTTCCTTTTTCTTAAATAAAAAAATCTAATTAAATTATTTTCTTATGCAATATCTTAATTTTTTTGTAAATGAATTATTATTTTCCCAGCCCAACCGCCGACACAAGCCCATACACGTTTTTGACTTTTGACTCAAGCAAGAGGCTAAAATAATTAATAACAAATTCAGAAAAAAATACCAGCTATATTTTGTCACATTCCCTGTTCTTTCTTATTCGAACAAGATCTCAATAATACGAGAAAGAGATCGAAAGAATTATAGGAGGAAGAGGGATTCAATCCAAATCGTTGTATCGGAAGAAGAAAAGATTCAAGCTAACGATCGCCATTGCAAGATTTTCCCGCCGCATTGATCAGAACGTGTTTTACCTTTTCGGCATCAAATGCCGGTTTTTAATTTCCCGGCGAAGGGCATCACCGATGTTGATCAGTAGGAGCTTTTCCGGCGATTTGGAAGCATGTTTCGTCGGTTTTAGGCTTAGAGAGGAAGCGGAAGGAACCGCGCGGGGAATCAAGACGAGGGAAGCTGAAGAGCTGGAGACAGGCAGGCTGCTAAGATGCAGATTCGGTTTTCGCCGAGCATGAGAAGCATTAATATATCGACGAGCAGTAATGGGTTTCTTGATTTGATGAAGGTGAAGGTCGCAGCTCGTCATATCTCATACAGGACCTTATTTCACACCGTCCTCGTCCTTGCTTTCCTTTTACCCTTCGTCTTCATCCTCACAGCCGTCGTCACCCTCGAAGGCGTCAATAAGTGCTCGTCGTTTGGTAAGTAGTGGTTTGTTGACTTGGTGATGTTGGTTTGAATTGAGAAAATTGAATTTGATACTTTATGGGTTTTTTTAATGTTGAATTGGTGAAAGTTTGTGTTTTGAATTGGACGATATGCGAACGCGTGTCTGTTTGTTACCTTGTTTTCTATTCGTCTGTATTTATGCTTTTTAGAGATCCCTTTGCTGATTTCGAAGCTGTTAGGCTTACTTCAGCTTCCATTTACTTTTGTTAATTGTGTTGAAAACTCAACAAAAACGAGCTTTCCATGATTACAAAAAAAAAGTCTTTATAGAAACTTCGAAGAGCTTCACGATTAAACATAGAGGACTTCGGCCAAGAAATTAATTTTTTTGAAAAAGTATATATATCATAAAATTCCCATTTCATTGAAAACAAGGAGCAACATATAAGCAACAAACTCCAACCGACTGAAGCATATTGGGAAGCAAAGTCCACGGAGTTATTGGCTGATAAAAAAAATTTCTTCAGTGGCTTATGAATACAGAAGTGAGTGAAGATAAGCTTTGGAGCATAAGCACAGGTTGCTGTTATCAATTTTCTGCTCAAAATACGTAATGGCCTTACAACCTTTTAGATAGAGAGAAGATCTAGATTGGCATATAAGAAAGGTACAAGTGAAATAGTGTTGCAAAATAAAATTTATTTCAAATGATTGAAGATATGGAGATAACTTATTTTATAATGATTTGCAAAATAATGTTCTAGGAAGATATGGAGGCATTAATACCGAAACTACCCTTTAATATTGAATCTATGAAGATCACCAAGCTTGCTTCTCATAATAACATCGATGGACTTTTTATGAAAGTATGTGTATTCTGGTCCCCAAAGAAAGTAGAAGAAGTTCCACTCCATGTTATTCTTCACATTATAAATCCACTTATGTGAAACAAGAGATATGCCATTGGGAATAGGAGCAAAGACCAATCTTCTCTTTTTTGGGAAAAAAAAAGAGTCAAGATATCCAAATCCGAATTTGATTAGAATGATCTTTATGGTCATTACTGATGCTATCAAGAAATTATGTAGTGCGATAGCATTTTTTTATTTTCCTTTATTTCTTCTAATATTTCTGGTTGTGTTTGTCAAGTCTTAGTTGTCTGTTTCTATTTTAATAAAGTTTGTTTTAAGTTCTATCCATTGTGTCTGTTTCTTCTTGTGTGTGTACATCAATTACATTTTTCTCTTAGGTGGTATAATACAAGTTTTGGTTGATTTTATCATGTATTACATTCATCTTAAAGCAAATTAATCTAATGACTATAAAACTTATTTTGATTAAATGTGATTAAAGATATCTAGACTTGAAAATTGTCCTCTCTTTCTTTGCATCTTGCCAAACGCTTCCATCTCAAATAGATTTTTTTCCCTTTGAATTTAAATCATTAACATTTGACTTTAAAGGACTTTTGAGAAGAGGAAGAAGAAGGGGGTACATAAGGGCTTTGAGAAATATCAGGAGAATAAGACGAAGCAACATCATGTTGAATTTCCAGATGAACTTTTTTGGAAAGAAAAGAAGACTCAACAAAACTTAAATTCACTTTATTCCAAGACACAAATGACAACATGACTCATAAACCTAGGATTTGCTAACTTGTTCTGATACCAAATTGATGCAAGCAAAAAATTAGGAAAACCCCAATTTTTTTGCAAGAAAAAACAAGCTATTCCTAACAAAGTAGAAAAAAGACAAACTACCACATTTATAACATAAAATGACACTTAAACCAAAAACAACTTCACTTTTATAAAATAAAAAGACTTACAAACTTTATAAAATAAAAGACTCCTAAAACTGCTCTTCACCCATCGAGAAGAAATATACAATTGGAGTGGTCACTTGCGGATAGAAGAAGAAGGCAAGAAGTCGAGACGAAAGGGAGGAGAAGCTCGCAAGCTTTCCTAGAAGAAGGAGAAGTGATGGAACAAGCTCGCAAGTTTTTCCATGAAGAAACCCGCAGGTTTAGGCTCCAAAAATCACATTATAACACCCTCATAACATCCTTATTTTAATCACTAAACATCACATATTTATAGGACCAAAGAGGGCAGCCAAACAGCCCATAAAAAGGCAGCTTAGGGAGTTGAAACAGCAATCAAAGGGAGCCAAAATAGCAGCCAAAAGACAGCACAAGAACCAGATAAAGAAGCCACAGGAAAACAGCCAGGGAAGAAACCGAAAAGGCAGGACAGGGGACCGGAACCTGCAGCCAGCAAAGGGAGGAGGAACAAATCACGGGAAACAACACCAGGGGAGAACCGAAGGGGCAACACATGGACCGAAACCAGCAGCCAGGGGAGCCGAACCAGGAGGAAAAACCGAAGAGACTAAGGGAAGGGGAAGGGGATTTAAGTGGGGAAACCAAAGGGGCAGCAAATGGGGGAATGCACCAAAGAAATCCTCAATTATTTCAGATTTATGAGTTGAAAGAGTAGAGACTAAGCATTTATGAGCGGATTTTAGAAGGAATATTAAAGCTCACCAAAAATAAAACCCAACTTATTTTGACAACCCCCCTGCCTACATCACAAAGCAATGATGGGAAAGGCAATATAAGTGATTAAGAAGATAAAATAGAAAATGATGATATTTGATTAACTTTCTACCATGGAAGCTACCAACTTTAGTTTTTATTTGCTTGTTAAACTTGAAATAGAGCTATGGCCCTTTTGGGCACTTTATTTTAGACAATCTATTCAATAACTTTTGGTGTTTTTTGATGTAGGCAAGGGGGGGGGGGTCAAATCAAGTTGGATTTTATTTTTGGTAAGCTTTAATATCCTCTACTAGATGTCAGCTCATTAATATCTAGTACAGTGTCTTAAACTCATAAATTGAAGATTTATTGGATTCATTTCCCTTTTTCCTTTGTCTCTTTGGTTTCTTCTTGAGTCTCTTTGATTTCTTAAAATGGAATTAAGACCTTGGGCTGCTTTGCCTTTTCGGTTTCTGTTGGCTTTTGCTGTTCCCCTGGTTATTCCTCTCAGTTTTCCCTTCCGGATGCTTTTCCCATGAACTTTTGCCTTGTCTCCTATGCTGGCTCTTTGGGTCCCTTGCTAGCTGATTTCCCGTGGCCTGCTGGTGGGTTTTCCGTGGGTTGTTTCCCTGTTTTTCTGTGCAGATTTCCTGCTGCTGTTTTGCTGTCTTTTGGCCTTTCATTTGCTGTCTTTTGGCCTTCTAGTTCCTTCTTTTAATTAGGATATTTAATAGATTTAAAGATAGATTTTAGGGGCTGTTTAGCCGCCTCTTTTATCCTATATATATATATGATGTTTTGGACATAAAAAGAGAGTTGCTTATTATGAGATTTTTGGGATAGAAACCTGCAGGTTTTGTTGGAAAAGCTTGCGAACTTGTTTCACCTCCCCTCTTCTTCTCCTCTAGGATAGCTTGCGAGCTATGCCTCTCTTCGTCTCAGCTTCTAACCTCTTCTTCTCTCCATGCTGATCACTCCAAATGTATCATTCTTCTCGATGAATGTAAGCTTCTTTAGGTGTGGTCTTTGTTCATGTTTGTAAGAGTCAGAAGTTGTAAGTGTCTTTTTATTATGATATAAAAGTGTCTTTTTTATAGTATTTTGTATCTTTTTGGCAATTAGTGTATTTTCTATTGTCTAGGAAGTATTTGTTTTTTCTCGCAAAAATTTGGGGCCCTTCCCAATTTTTGCTTGCATCATTTTCGTATTTGAAATTTTGATGATTATCATGTTATATTATAATATGATCATCACAAAATTTGAAAATTCATTTTTTGATGTACCATTTTATAATATTTTACTGTGATGATTATTATATTATATTCCCTAACAATATTTCATATAATTAAAATAGGTAATTGTTTTTCAGTTTGCTCAGGCGAGCACCTTGGGCACTAATCAACCATGTTATCTTCATAGAGCACCTTTAATAACATTAGTTAGGTGGTTGAAGCTTGGCGGGACCAGTTGATGATGGTTTCATTTTTGCTAGCACGTCTATTCTACCCATATTTCAAATACTTTGGAATTATTTGTTTTGTGTGGCATCGTATTCCTTCTCATTTGTTTGTGCATTCTTATCCTTTCATATCCAATGACCTTTAACTTGGGAAGTAATCTTTCTTTCTCTCTCAAGGTTTAAATTGTGCAATTGAGTATTGTGGCATTTTTTTCTTGAGGCGAGGCAAAATTCTATATGTTTTTTGAGACTTAAGCCTCAAAATTAAATTATTAAATTAATTAAAAATATAAAACAATGCATTTAAGAGTAACATTCCATATGACTGAACAACAAGTAACATTAAAAAAAAATAGCTAAATTTCCTCCCAATATAGTATTTGAGAGTAATCCAAAAGCATCAAAGTCGCATCATTAAAAATTATGCAAATATATATGATAATAGGCAAATAAATCTAAACTAAACAAGAAAACATGCCATAAAAATAACCTAATTATGACTTAGGACTCTAAATTTGAAAGTCTTTACCACTTCCATAGTTCAATGAGTCCTTACTAAAATTAACAAATATAGTTGATTACTTTACCACCTACCTAACTCTCACTTAATCAATATCCTCTCAATCATTTTCATCATCTTCAATCTCAATCTTATTTATCTTTTCTAATCAACAAAATCCAGTAAGAATATATTTGAAATATTGATTATATTTGTATCGCTTTTCCATTATTACCTTGTCGATATTGTTATTTTGTTCACTCCATAAAAAAAAGTCAATATCGAGATTTTCCTATTATATTTGTGCTGGTGAAACTCTATTTTTATTCTCCACAAATCATTCTTCATTCAAGAGCACATCATAAATATCCAAAGTATCTTTATCATCTTCCAAAGAATTCATGCAAATGTTGAAATAGTAGCGCACACCTCATTATGCACACACCTCAGATAATTGAGGCATATGCCTTCGTAAGCCTTTAATATGTTTTGCATGCATGCCACCCTAAGGTGGATCTTAAGAAGATCCTCAAATTATGCAATTTTAAACAATGCTCTCTCTCTCTCTCAATCAATCAATCATTCTCTCTTTTGTGCATCTATTTTAGTACTTCATTGTACCATGCAGTGTATTTTTTAGAGGCTATTAGGCCATGTTCATAGGATGATTTTAAATTGTTGAATCCTTGTCTACTTAGGCACATGTTGGATTAAAGTGTATAATATATATCTCATATAACTAAATATTCAGGATCATAAAAGAAGAACATGTTCGATTGAAAACTTAAACTGCAATTGAAACGAATTAGATTGTTGTTGATTTAAAAGCAAATAATCATGTAAAAAAAAACAAGCAGTGAAAGAGAATAAAAATAGAGCAAAGGAAATAAATTATCAAATAATAGTATACTACTAACATTGAATCAAAGAGATAATATTACTCGAAAATATATAGTGTCCAATTGCATCATACTAGAAGATACACATTCAAATAATACTCTCAAGTAAAGTGAAATTTAATATTTGATCAAAGTAGAATATCAATAGATTTGTTTTTATATTTCTTAGGAACTCCTGCTTATATTCATAGATTTTCTCAAATCATAATGTCAGAAGATAAAATTAACTATTATATCCTGAAACAATAATGGTCAAAATATAGTAAGTAACCATCATAACCAAATTGTTGGTTGAGTGTTCACTAAAGCGTGTAGTGTACGATAAGGTTGTATAAGATTCATGCTACAACATGCTGGATATGGTTGGCATGGATCGTTGAAGAGACGTAAATTGAAGGTGTCGATAAGGCATACTACAACTTAAATCAGGTGCTCATAAAAGGCATATAAGATAGTATGAACCAAACCACTAAATTAGGAATAGAAATCCTGAGAGCTAAACCGACCTAAGTTAAAGCTAGAGGGAATAGAGCCAAACCAAAGAATACAATCCATTCTTATAGGGATTATCAGAGGAAAGACAAAAACTAAATGGAAGCTAGAAAATTAGTAACTATTAAAATAATGTCAAATAAAGTTAATTCAATGCTTGGATGGTCAATTTGCTTGTCTCAATGCACACATTGTTTTTTCAATTGCGCTAAATCTAACTTTCTTTAAAATATTTAGTTTCATTGTATTGAGCATTTGATATTTATTTAAAAAGTTTGGCATAATGGAAGGGCCGTGACTCATGCAGTATACTTCTTTTATTCATGATATGATTCTTAGGTTATTTAAAAAGCCTCAGCAATTTCTACAAGAAAGATCTTTCCAGCTCCTTATAATGAGCCAGAAATTTCTTGTGATAAATATCCAATTTAGTCACAACATTCATACAACTCCCACTGTTTATAATGAGCTTGCATAGTTGATCATCATATTAAAATAGGTTTGAAATATAGAAGTTATTTTAAAAGCAAGCTCAATTTGGGCGTGACAATGATATATTGCATAACATTTAAAGAATTACCAATTATTGCTTCTTTAGAATTACTTACCACTTCACGTTCTTGAAGTCACCCCTCATTATTTTTATTTCTCCTCCACATCGATCCTACTAGGACATTCATTTGTAAAGGGAACTATCCAATGACATTTAAAACAGGCTTTGATGTGAATATTAAAACTAGTTGCAGTAGGTTTAGATTACCCTTTATTGCCATTATTATTGTTGTGTTAGATGGAATGGGTGTAAGAGTGAGTTTAACTACTATAACATTTCAATATATGTAGTAACTCTCTTATTATTAGGAAATTTCAACTTTATTCAAAATCTAGTACGAGTTGAAAGCATGCTCAAGTGAGAGAATTTTTTGTGTGGTGTTATTTATCTTTTAATGTTAGGTCTTAATCCAAATCTAAGCATAGAAAGTATTATTTTAAGATCTTTAATGATTTCATAATGTAGTAGAGATTCCTCAATTTTATTAATATTTTAGTTATAGTTTTGGTTCATTATTTTAGTATATTAAATTTATTATGTGCTCCATCACATTATGATAATTACATACTTTTCCTTTCATTTCAGTCTAAAGTTGTATGTTATGTATCTAATATTTACTTTTATTTTCCAACATATTACATATTTTAATTTGCATGGTTAATTTCAATTTAACAAGCCTTACTTGGCGTTCATCCAAAAAACGTATTCATAGCAACTACATTGTCAACAAAAATTAGGATTATTTTTCCATCAACTATAGATGCCTCAATGTTGGCCTTTTTAATTGTGTCATCATTTAAATCATTTGATATTTATGATGCTCATAAGCTTCATTATCATCCAATATATATAGTCTACCTTAATCATTTCTATTGTGATTAATTTCTTTCCTGCTAGCTATTTTAACATTCAAATGGATGAGTGTATCATTATGATTAGATTCAACTTGTTCTTCATGTGATTGAAACTAATTTGTTTTGGAAGTTTCAATGTGCTTTTAATCTAATTAGTATCTTCCCTCATTTGATTTTATTTATTAAGCAATATTGATTGATTTTAAATATTTATCAAAATTCAATCTTTTAGATAATATGTTCTCTAGCCATAATGTCAAATATTATTCTATTTGACTTTTAACATAACCTTAAGCTCTAATATCAAATTTCATATAGGATTTCTTGAAGTCTTAGAATTTCTAATTTGATATAGGATCAGACGTATAAAATCATATGCAGAAGATTAAATTCTCAATATAACAATAATAATAACAACAACAACAAGAAGCTTTTATCCCACTATGTGGGGTTGGCTCAAATTCTCAATGATGAACTTACTTTGTCACGAAACAAGCTCAAAAATATTATTCATACGCGGTCAATTTAGCTCCAAGTATCACATTATTAAATTTATCTCTTGACTATACAAAATTGGTCTCAAATGGTTCCTTAGGGATTTGTGATCAATTTTATCTACTCAAGGGATTAAAGTAGGAACAGTTTGTATTCCATTTTCGGTCAACTTCTACATAAGTGATCATTTGGGATCAATTTTATATTGTTGAGATATTAAATTGAGAATTGTGATGCTCTATAACTAAATTGTTCGCATATGAATAGTTGGGAGATTATTTTGGACTTTTCTCTAATTTGGAACTATTCTTCACTATAGATGGAATTGAAAACATACAACATTCATGAAAACAATAATTTAACAGTCATCTAGTAAAAATCTTTCACAGAAATTCAATGTCATAAAATAATAACAAATTCGATCAAAGACTTGCAATAAAAATGGAGAACATAATTACAGCAATGGAAAGAAATCACTAGATATCAATCTAAGTCTTACACTAGTATAAAGAGATAATCTTCTAGAAAATTTTCAGCCTCCAATTGCATTAGGTTATAAAAAAGCACATATAACAGCACCCAAGTAAAGAGGAAATTGATATAAAATCAATGTAGTTCATCAAAAACAAAGTTATTTTTCACATTCCTCAATAATCTTTATTTATAATCACAGATCCCAATAATTTACATAGTCAAAAGAAACGTCATACATTTCCTCAAGAGGTTACAGTCGTTGAAATCCCTCAGGTAACCGTCATAGCAAAATCATAGCTTGAGCATTCACAAACCTAGCGGCTCTGGATATGGTACCCAAAAGATCCATACTATAATAGACAGGATAAAGTTGCGGTAGATTACCAAAGTTCACAGACTAAATGCAGCGATAAGGCATGTTAATGAACTGTGGATTAGATGCCAGTAAAACATAAACACGAAAAATTTAACAAACCAAGTGCTGAACAAACTGAAGTTCAAGCTAACACAGGGATTCAAACCAAAACGGAGCACAAGCTGCTCCAATAGGGATCATCATACGCAAGAAGAAAAAAAAAAACTGAAATGAAGTTTGGAAAATCAGAAAACTACATTATTAAAATTTACCAAATTCAATGCTTATTGTCTCAACGCACGTCCTATATTTTTAAGAGAATAAACTTTGAGATTTGTATCCTGATCCACCAACCTTACGTACCAATATGTAATTTTCTGCACATTTATTTAAATTTTCCAGAACAATTATAGGAGTTCTACAACAAAAATCAGTAACAAAATCTTAGGATTTTTTTATTTGAATTTGATGTCTTTGCCATACCTCCTCATTAGCATAGGTATTATGAGCATGAGTGTTTAGATTTTTAATTTTAAAATGATAGCTCATATTTGTGCTTATTTTATTGGAAAAATAGCTTGCTTTTCCTTGGAAATATTTGCTTAATTTGCTGTTATTATTGTTTGGTAGTGTCTTGACTAATTATTTTTAGTTATTTCCTATTCCAGATTGTTTGGGAAGGCGGTTGGGTCCAAGATTTCTTGGCAAGGGCGTTGATGATTCAGCGGTACGCAATAAACTTTTATTTTAAATGGTTGAATTCTATTCAATATTGGGACATGCAGGACAAAATGATTAGTTTATTGCTACTTCAGACTCCTTTTAATTGGCAAGAGATTTCATGCCCTATGATTTTCTTTTAATTCTGCAGAGACTTATGAGAGGTCTATATACGCTATTTGATGAAGCAAATTCCGTGGAAATTCCAGGTGGCCTAAAATTTCCTGAATCATTTAACGAGTTTCTTTCTGAAATGAAGCACAACAACTATGATGCGAATACATTTGCAGTCATGGTGAAGGGAACGGTACTTGATTTATTTATCTTTTTTTGTTTTTAATTATGTCTTACGTTTTATGCAATTGTTATATCCTGCAATGGATTATATGGTGTTCATTTGAAGCTGTGGTGGATGAATGCTTTCTGCTTCCTTTCTCTATTTTGATTCATGGTGCTTCCAAAATATATATTTTGAAGGTATTTTCTAAAAGGGCAATGCCGCTCCTATATGAGAAGTACGTAATTATTGTGATGTGAACTAACTTTATTATTGATACACAAAAAAAAATCTATCCAATTAAGCACGAATCTCAAGATAATATTTAAATTGAAAACTTTTGAAATTAAAATCAGGGTCATTTGAATTTTGATTTCAACAAATTGATTGTCGAAATGATTGTTCCGACGAGACGAACTTAATTAAACCTTAATCAAATCATGAATCAGGATGAACTCCTATTTACACAAAGAAGAGTTAACTTCTATGAGGTCCACCCAAGTGAAATATGTGTCACATACAAATGAATAGTGCCCTTTTGAAAATATATGAAAGATTTTGGCTAACATTCTTAATCAGATCCATAATAGACACACAGGCGGGCAAAATGCGAGCAATAATGAACTTAAAGTATAAGTTACACGCACTCCAATGACAATGCATTTATGTGAACAACTGTTATGTTAGTGTCTTACATGTTGAAAAAGTTGTTGTTATGTGAATGGTTTCTAAAAAAATGAAACCATCAAACTTGTTGTATGTCACACATGTGCGAGTGCCTTAAGCAATGCGCACATTAATTACTAAATAGGAACTCGTATACATCCTATGAATTAGCAGTGAGTCCTGTGAACAACCTACACACCTTGTGAATAGTGCACCATGTAAATGAAAGTTGTTTTTTGTGAGACAAAGCAACACATAGTTACGTGTCAGGAGACGTACAATTGTTTTAACAAAATGTGTAGGATTCTTCAAATCACAGGAAACAATTGTGGCCTCACACATTTTAAATGCACATACAAATTTACTTAAAACGTGTAAATGCATTGTGCATGTACACAGGGAAACATGCAAATGCCCTATCTAGATGCATTGAAGATGATACAAGTACTCCAATGCATTGCATAATTGCATCAAGAAATGGGTAAGTGCGTTGTGTAAGAGCATAATTGCATCAAGAAATGCGTGTCGTGCAAGTGTCCTAAAAATATGTAAGTGCATTATGTGAATGCACTGTTAAAAATATAAACATTCCTTACAAATGCATCAAAAAGCGTGTATGACACATTAAACCATTAAAATCAACAATTTTTATGTTCTCCAACCAATGCATTGAATTCTTAAACCCTAGGTCTGAGAATGTTGCACGAGTTGAAATGGAATGAATTCAAAAAAATTTCTCCGCAAAGTGCATGCAAATATTTTGAAATTCTATAATTATTTCAAAAAATTTAAGAACTCTTAAAATTTAAATGTCAAAACATCATTATTACACACACGCTCTCAGTTGAGTTGCTCTGCCATAAGGAAGAGTCATAAATCCCATGTGTTAAGCTCGATTCTCCTCTTTGCAAGAATCTGTGTTGATGATATTTGAACCTCATAAGAGATGTTTGATCAGTAAATTTTAAATGGTGCACCATAAATTCTATCCTCGCAAACGAATGAACAACTATAAAACTTGTGATGATATTTTGTTGTATATTCGTATTAGGCCTCTAATGCATTTAAAAAAAATGTATTACAAAAATACAAAATTTTGAGTTCATTGCTCATATGGCAACAAACTAAATGCTTGAGATTGATCCTTTGTTAGAAAGTGAGTAAGTTGACGAATTTCAAATAACAAAATTAAATATTTATATACCTTGTTGATAGCCATGTTGACGGAAGATATCAACTGGAGGGGATTATATGATTTTCAAGATGCTCTCAAATTTAAAAGTCAATCACTTGGGGTTTAATTCGAATAAAAATTTAATATTTATCAAAATATAAAATTATTGAAGCAAAATTTACTATCGTCAACTTAAAGCAAAACATTTGTGTCTTTTGCAACCGTTTATCGAGGATGATAAGTTTAAGAACAATCTAAGCTTATAAAGAGCCAATGCCTTGTGAAGCGTATCCTCATAATTCATTTTTAAACAATCTCTTGTCAATAAGGACTTAACATATGTTTTCTAACCGATGATTTTGCCGTAAAATCACACTACATGTAAACAATTATAACTACAGCTCTCTAATCTAGTGAATTTTTATCACAAATGACATCTTTAAATTATAGTCACAATCTAAACCCGCAAGTTCATAATAGCTAAAAAATCATTGAATAATGAATCATAGGGTTCACTTGATATAACACAAAGCCCTGTTTTAGTTAAAATTGACTTAAATTTGTTCCCTTGACAAACATGCAATCCATCTTTACAAGGTTCACTTAGATGAAACTACCCATGGCTAATGATAATGATCTTTCACTTAGGTTGGTTTGACTATCTCCTCTAACTATATAAAAGTAGGAACTTAACAACTTGGGATATGAATCATAACCTTGTAACCGGTTCATGGTTGAATAAGTCAGATCAGCTATTCTGTCTGATTTTTAAACATTGGTTATTAGTCACTAAGTATTTCGCTTTTAATGACTAGTCCTAACTTTCGAAAGTTATTTCTCATCATCATGAAGGATAATTGATCATAGGAGCATGCTCCTATAGGAAATCTACAATCAAATCATAAAGTCCTAAAAAAATAAGAGTGAAATATATAAGCAATGTTTTAGCTTCAATCTAATCAACATTTTAATTTGACCCGAAAACCACTTAAGCTCTCACAATAGAGCCAGTGAGCAAATTTTCAGAACCACAACTGTTATCTAGTGTTGTCGTCTGACTGGTATACTCAGACCAGTCACTTGACCATCATCGTCTAATCATTGCCTCCTGGCTGTTATAGTCATTCTCCAACATCTAACCATTGTTGTCCCACTGTTGTTGTCCAACCACCATCGCCTGAGCGCCATCATCCAACCACCATTATTTAACCACCATTACCAAACTGATACTTTCGAGGCTTTTCGTATAAAATTTCATAGCATTTCTTCTCTTTCATATGTATGTGCGCTAGATCTTTGTACAAAGCTAGAATATAAAACATTCTCTATCGCCATGAATTTTTTAGGGTGCAACAATTATAAAGAAGAATGGTATATATATGGGGATTTAACTTCTAGAATTAAGGCTAAATGTTTAAAATGGAGAAGTAAATTATGAGTGTTTTGCTATAGGAGGATATTATTGAGATTTGAAGGTGAATTTTATAAAATTGCTCAAATGCATAAGTTAGCTATGTTGTATTGAGTTAAGTAGAAAGCTGTGATTAAAGATGTTGATATGTAAGTTGAATATGGTGAAAATGTGACTATTGATGTTGATAAATTATGGAATCATTATATCAAGGGTACGGTAGGATCTATTTATATTAATATAAGATAGTTGAAAATATACTTAGCTAGTTTGGACAAGTACAACAAAGGTTAGAATGTGCATCTATATTACATGTACATAAAATTAAGGTTTAGGATGTAAATTGTTAGATCTAAGGTAACATGAATAGAAGTCCAAGATGATTTTGAATGATAGGTTTAACACCTCAGGTTGCACTTAACAAAAATGAATGAAAAATGAGGAATATAAATGCCTTCCTCAGATAGTTGGGATGAGGCTACTCATCATGATTACGATCTGAGATAAATCTAACTTCTTTGATGCCTCTATGGCTTTAAAAGTGGTTATTTTTGTACATTCTATAGCATTTTATAAGAATTAGAACCCTGAGGTTCTTGCTTATAGCACTAGTGCTGCAAACTCTATACATAACTATGAGTCAGGTCATTGTAAAGGCCTGTCTCAAAGGATGAATATTCCTCTTTTTCAAGACTTAATTATACTTGATCATAAATAGGCCTTTCTCTTGTTTAATGATTCACTACCCACCAGTGCACTGTTTTGTTAGAAATTTATTAGTATAATTATAAAAATCATTTCTACACTATCTGCTTTATGACCTGACAATTACAATCTTCACTGTGATTATATGCTTTATAATTCCATTGAAGCTGTTAGTGATTCGATTGCCATGCTCACAATGCACATCTTAGCTGGTGTTAAAACGGCTCTCTGTTAACCATGTTTATAACTTTTGTATTTGCAGATGGATTATATGAATAGAGAAGTAAAGAAGGCCAGACTAGCAGAACAAGTGAACAAACATTTTGCAGCAATTGGTATTCCAAAAGGCCTTCATTGTCTCTCATTGAGGTTGACAGATGAGTACTCCTCTAATGCCCGTGCTCGGAAACAATTACCACCGCCCGAGTTGTTGCCTGTTCTCTCCAATAATTCATACTACCATTTCATTGTAGCTACCGATAACGTCCTTGCAGCCTCTGTTGTGGTTAATTCTGCAGTAAGGTCTTCAATGAAATCTGATATGATAGTATTTCATGTCATCACTGACAAGAAGACCTATCCAGCCATGCATTCATGGTTTGCATTAAATTCTATTTCTCCAGCCATCATTGAGGTTAAGGGAGTCCACCAGTTTAATTGTTTGACAAGAGAGAATGTGCCTGTGCTTGACGCTATAGAGCATCACCACCATGTAAAAAATCATTATCATAGAAATCATGTGGCAGGGGCCAATATCAGTGATAGCCCAAGGGCTTTTGCTTCAAAGCTGCAAGCGAGGAGCCCGAAATATATCTCTCTGCTCAATCATCTCCGCATATACCTTCCCGAGGTAATACTATCACCATTCACTAGTTATATATGCTTATTTTAGATATAAGGCAGAAAGTAGGCCAGAGAGAGTATCCTTGTGTTTCAACTCAAAAAATGATCATAAGAAATTTTATAATTGAACTTTTGATTTGAGGTTAATGTTCAAATAATTTCTAGACGAGAACTATAGCAGCGTATGGTGATGGTAAGATCTAGAGGAAGGGTTTTGTAACATTGAATCAAAATAGTCGAAGTTTAAAATGTAGGATTCCCTGTTGAGTGCTGCTAAAAAATTGTGTATTCTTTCACCAGTTTTTTAATTGATACCGATGATCATGGATTAATTTCGTGTTTTTTTTTAAGTTCAACTCGCTTCAATTGTGATGAATACTCTATCCTACTAAGTTATGGGATAACATTCATTGCCTTTCAATTATTATTTTCATGCACTAGACTCTCCATATTTATCTCTCTCTCTCTCTCTCTCTCTATATATATATATATATATATATGGGGGGGGGGACGGGTCGGACAGGAGGCGACGACGGCTAAGGGGTTCAATTGTGTTAAAAGATAATTGTATTTTTTTTCGTTTTTAGCATTTATAAAATGGCCTAAAATTGAATGCGCAAGTTATTGATGATATTTATTAGGTATTTGATGATTTTGGTTGGTGAAATATACAAGTAAAATTTGATTTGTAAGCGATCTTTCATCGGCCATTCAATCATCTTTATTTTTATGCATTTGACGAATACCTAAAATTATTTATATAGTGGAAACCATAAATTAATTAGGTGGAGAATTATCTCTTTTTTTTCTTTGTAGGAAGAAAATCTGCACATACATTCATAATGCTGGCCTACACTTTTACTAATATGTTGACTATATTTTTGATGATTAATTCAAACAGATGTTTCCAAGCCTCAACAAGGTTGTGTTTCTGGATGATGATGTTGTTGTTCAACGTGACTTAACACAATTGTGGGATATTGATCTTTCTGGCAAAATAAATGGTGCTGTGGAAACTTGTACAGGAGAAGATACATGGGTAATGTCTAAGCGTTTTAGAACATATTTTAACTTCTCTCATCCTTTGATTGCAAATAACCTGGACCCTGACGAATGTGCTTGGGCGTATGGGATGAATGTCTTCGACTTGAAAGCATGGAGGAAAACAAAAATCAGAGAGACTTATCACTATTGGATGAAGGAGGTAATAACTAACTTAATGTTTGTTTTCATAGAAATTGCTAAAATTTCTCACTAGACATGGTCATAATCTATGATTTTTTTTTTCCATTTCGAATAGGCCATTTACAGTTCACCATAACTATGAATATGAAGCTGTCAACATCCCATTTAAAGCTTGGTAAATTATGCTTGAAAAAAAAACCTTGTTGAGGCCTAATTTACAAGGAATTAAGAAATATTCAGAGGGTTATTGATAGGAAATACTTGAAATCAAGTATTTCCTATTCACCTTTACAGCAAATCTCCACGAAATACTGCTGTCCGGAGCAGGAGAAAATTTGTTCACCGGTCAATCAGTTGAAGCCTGTATTTTATGTAGGTACATAAAGGTTTTCAAAGGGCTGACCTCATAAGTCAACACTATCCATTTGACATCCTGAATTGCTATTCAACTGATGTACACGACAATAAAATATGATATTTTGTTTGTTGCATGATATATCTTATGCATCCATGCTAGGATCATATAGCTTAGTTGCTCATCAGCAAAAGAACATGTGGATATAGACTAAAAATTTTAGATGTGAGTACGGTAAGAAAAACGTGTATGGGTCTTCTATAGCACCTGTTTGAAAAAATGCAGTTATTTCCCCGCGAGTGGGTACTTATATGTATCCTCACTTCGCTGTAGGTGTCGCACCGGGTTCCCATCCTACCATAGAAACTTGGAGGCGGTAGTCATCTTTCACAATCTACTTTTTTTTTTCTATTCTTTCTGTGCTGACTTGTAAAAACTATTTTTTTATTTGTGCTCTCCCTCCAAGATTTTGCGCCTGGAACAAGATGTGCTGTTAGTGCTGTTCATACTATCTCCTTTAATCCCTCGATGAAAAAACGACCCTAAATATTAAGAAATCTGTTCTTAACTAAACCTTCTCACGTTTAAACTATGTTCTAACATTTCCTTATTTGTTGTAGAATTTAAGCTCAAATTTGACTCTGTGGAAACTTGGAACATTGCCACCAGCTCTTATAGCATTCAGAGGATATGTGCATCCTATCAACCCATCCTGGCACATGCTCGGATTGGGTTATCAGGAGAAAACAAATCTCGATGACGTGCGAAAGGCCGCCGTTATCCATTACAATGGTCAGTGCAAACCATGGCTAGCAATTGGTTACAGGCAACTCCAGCCATTTTGGACCAAACATGTAAACTATTCCAATGAGTTCATAAAGAACTGTCATATATTGGAGCCAGCAGATTAATTAGTTACAGAGATGCAGAACCGGATGAAACGCAGCTTCTGCTAAGTAGATACTGGACAATAGTTACTTGTTAAGATACAATTATTTCGTTATACGAGCCGTGCCGTGTTGGCTGCAACCAGCTATGGAGGCGCAGCGATGGTGGCGGCGGCGGCGAGCAATTGCAAGTCTGTTGATGGCAGAAGTTGATTTCATAATTTCAGTTTGTAAAATATTTATTCATGCCAAGGGGATAGATATCTAAGCATGATTCATCTCCCTTAGCAGGATCAGATGGCAAATCAGCTACAGGCAAACCTTATTGTTTTACCAAGCAGCCAGAATTTTTTTTATTTTCCTCCTCTTTTGATTGCTAGATTTTTTAGTTTTTTTTTTTTTTTACATTTTTATAATTTTGTATTCATCCGTTTATTAATTGTAAAAAGCATGGAGATCCTTGTAATTGTGCTCTTATGGAATTTTCCATTGGAGATCAGGGCTTTGTTACTTTGCATAAATGTTGAAAATGTTAGATGATTCTTTTCCTTGTTATCTGTTCATAATTGTTATCAGAGTTTTCATAATAAGCCTTTGCTTTGGGATGTTGGCATATGACAAGTTACATTTGGTATCTCAGTTAATAATATAGGCTTCGTTTGGTACATTGTTCTTAAATATTTTTATCCTCCTCTCTTTTTCTCGGAGAAATTATTCTGTACGGACGCCGAATACAGCTCTACGTCCGGAGGCCAATCAGGTGCAACCACGTCAGTGGTACCGAGCCGCGGTATCGATATGGCATATTCAAATTGATCTATGGACAGCGTTCAGCATCCACACATAATAATTTTTCCTTTTCTCGACTATTTCTCAAAGTTACTTCAATTTGGAAACAAAAGATCACATAGTTCATCAAAATTTTAGATGGTTTCATAATTATAATGTCATAATTAACAATATTACATATGCTACAAATCTATTTTTTTTTAATGATATACCGAGCAAATTTTTTTCTATAAATGAGAAATATATGGTTTTATTTCAAAATATTAATATTCTTCATCAATATATGATGGAAGCCTCAAAGAAAGTTCTGAAGCCACAATCAGATCAGGAGCAATCTGTATGCAAAAATTATACTCAATTCATCAAGTGAGATGGAGCCATATTTAACGTCGAATTAAGACTTTGTTTGCGACAATTTTTTTATTGCTTTCTAAATCAATTTTTAGTTCAAAAATTTGTTGATGTTAAATTTTGTACAATAAAAAGTTATTTTAGAATGCAGTAAGAAAGTTGTCACAAATGAATCCTAAGCAAAATGGAACTGTAATTTCAAAAGAAGTGTATATGAATGATTCAATTCGAACCCAATCCTAAAAATCTAATTTTGAGTTGATCCATTTAATAAATGGGTCAATTTATGATTGACCCGCAAAACCAACTTTTGATATGAAATAACCAATTTAATATATATTTTTTTTCCTTTAATTCTTTTACTTGTGGATATAATATTATTATTTTTTATCAAATATTTTAAACTTTATTATTAATAATTTATAAAAAAAATTAATTTAATTAAAATTGATAAATATATCATGTTCAGGTCATTCAGGTTGCTAAAAGGTCAAGTTCGAGTTGGACGTTTTGACTCATTTATTAAGTATGTCGAGTTCGAATTGACTTGGTTTGAGTCGTATAAATTTCTGGTTAGACCCAAACACGACCCATCAACCCTTTTTAACCCTTATGTATATTTTATTAATAAAATTAAAAAGAGGTATTAATTTTTTTTAAAAAAAAAAAGCTTTGTTAATAATAATAATTAATTATTTAATATTATTTATAATATTTAATCCTATTAATTATTTTGAAATAATTATGTATAATTTTATTAATAATTTAATTAATAATTTAAAATTATTTAATTAGCTTCACTTAATTATTAATATTTTAAATTATAATAATTAAGTTATCCAACCATAAATTAGAGGAGTCTAGGTTTTCCCTCCCTTCTCTATTTCGTCGGCTTCTTTCCTTCGCATGAGTGTTGAGTTTTGCACGAGATCTTCTTCGTCGCTGTTCGACTTCGCTCCTTCGACGACGTTCCCTTCCTGTTGGATCGGAAGTTACGACATTTTTTTTATCAGAAGCAACAAGGGGAGCTCGCTTGCTGTGGAGGTAACTTTCTCCCTTTCGCGCTCTTCTTCGGCCAAACGCGCCTTTGATTTACCGTGAGATTTGGTTTTGCATTTTCGGCCGTTTGGCTGGATTTAACTCAAATCCTCTTCAAATCCGGCCTAAATCATGCATCCAAACAGCCCCTTAAATTGAATCTTACTTCAAGCCTGAGAGAGAGATATGAGGCTAAAGAAGCAGAAGAGGCATCGTAAAGTTGTTAGATTCTACTCGGCATGCTTTGGATTTAGGGAGCCGTACAAGGTCCTCTGCGACGGCACCTTCATCCACCACATTCTCCTCCACGGTCTGACCCCAGCTGACAAATCCCTATCCAATCTCCTTGGAGCCCGCGTCCTCCTCTTCACCTCCAGGTTCTCCGCGCCCCTCCTCCCTTATCTCTCTCTCTCACCTGCACACACGCTGATATCTGATAAGTCCATTGCAGATGTGTAATCGGGGAGCTCACAAGCCTTGGTGAATCCCATGCAGTGGCTCTCGAAGCTGCACACCAGATCATGACGGCAATGTATGTATCCCTCTTCGGATGGTAACTGTTATCTTCCTGTCATACTTTATTAATACGCTTTTCTGGTCTCTTATTTGTGCTGAGATTAGGTGTGATCATGAGAAAAGGGTGGATGCAGAAACCTGCATACAATCCATAATTGGAGAGTCCAATTCTGAGCATTTCTTTCTTGCCACACAGGATTCAGAAATTCGGAAGAAGTTCAGGGAGGTTGTACATCAATTCTCGCCCTTTCGTGGCCATATTTTTGTATGCTATTATTTGATACCACACGAACAATTGGTCTGTGCTTTTATTTGACTGAGAACAAATAAATATAGTCTATTTATTTATTTTTTCAATGACACATCAGAATGCTAGTATTTCAATAAAGGTTAGATCTTGAGAAAAAATATTAAGATATCCTTTTTGAAAATTGGTCTTGATTGGTTTTAAAATCTTTGGATTTTGTAGATGAATGCAATACATGCATTATCAATCAATTCCACTTATCTTAATTCAAAATCAAGGATTTTAAAACCCATCTTGAGCAAATTTTGGTCAGGATATCCTAACCCATTTTTTTTTCCATAGAAACTTTAAGGTGATCAACCTTAATCTGAGTAATGCATTGCATTGAACCTAACAAAAAGTATCAGATGGAAACATGGTAGATCTGGAATATTAAATAGATGCAGGGTGTTAATTGTTTATTGCAAATTATTTTAGGAATCTTGGCATTAGATTTCGAATAAACTATTTTTAAAATGGCATAAGAAACATGGAAATTGCACATTTCAATTTGCTTCTTTAATTTGAAAGTTAACTATTTCAAACAATCTCCTATTTTAATATTTTTTTAGTAGGGAATTGTAGATGAATTTATTAAAAAAAAATTACGTTGATGTAAGAAATGTCAACCGAGAAAAATTTTTGTTTAGCTTTTTCATAATAAAGTGATAGCTAATTCTGCCAGTGATCTTAGCTTGAAGGAAAGTAAGTGTCATTATGAAAAAAAATAATGAAAATGCTTGTAAACTTCATTTTCATCTAATTTTCTGTCTGTGACAGCGGAACCATGAATTACATGCTGTGGAGGCCTTTTTAGATATAATCTTTGTATCTTCTCCGATCTTGCATATTTAAACATTCTGAGCCCCTTTTTGTTTGCGGAATATGCCTTCTAGCATGATTCTGTCATTTTTCTGCTGCTTTTTCAATTTTGTAAACCTTACACTTTTACTTAATTTGGAACTACCCAAGTATGTCTAAAGTAATAAAGTGCATATTGGAATGAATTTTGTATGGATATCTCCCTCCCTCACACACACACACACACATATGATTTTGATCTTACATTGATTGTTATATGTTGACCTCTAAGAATTAACCAGTGGGAAAAAAAAAAAAAAAAAGAAGAGATCAAAATACCTGCAAATTGCCTCTCTCTCTCTCTCTCTCTCACACACACACACACACACACACAGATATGATTTTGACCTTACATCGATTGTTATATGATCATACTAATTCCTTTGAAACCCTTAATTAGCAATCTAAGGGATGAGAGCTTCAGAACTAGGAAACTGATAATATTTTGCAATTATTATCTTATTAATTGTATTTTGCATCTCTTCTACATATTTGATTTGATTTGCTTCATGATGTATATTTTGGTTAATCCTTAAGTGTTATTCTGGCAGAGATTCTATGATTAATTTTTTGTTTTTGTAACTTGAATGTAAAGTGAAGCATTTGCTTACATGTTAGTGAGAACTGTCCTTATATAAGCTTCTGCACAAAAGCTCGAAAGCTTGAGCACTTTTTAACACTTTCTTATTATTATCTAGGTATTTTCAACGAGTTTTCCAATGCATATGGGTTAGGAAAGTCCTAAATTGATTTATTTTATCACCGGTACAGTTTAATGACTTGTGACCTCATATTTTTCAAAGTGGGGACAACTAAACTGATTATATTTTTAGTTTCATTCATTGCCTCATAGTGCACTGAGTTCTTGCTATTTTTATGAATTTTTCGGAGCCCACATTATATGATCATACTAATTCCTTTGAAACCCTTAATTAGCAATCTAAGGGATGAGAGCTTCAGAACTAGGATCTGATAATATTTTGCAATTATTATCTTATTAATTGTATTTTGCATCTCTTCTACATATTTGATTTGATTTGCTTCATGATGTATATTTTGGTTAATCCTTAAGTGTTATTCTGGCAGTGATTCTATGATTAATTTTTTGTTTTTGTAACTTGAATGTAAAGTGAAGCATTTGCTTACATGTTAGTGAGAACTGTCCTTATATAAGCTTCTGCACAAAAGCTCGAAAGCTTGAGCACTCTTTAACACTTTCTTATTATTATCTAGGTATTTTCAGCGAGTTTTCCAATGCATATGGGTTAAGAAAGTCCTAAATTGATTTATTTTATCACCGGTACAGTTTAATGACTTGTGACCTCATAATTTTCAAAGTGGGGACAACTAAACTGATTATATTTTTAGTTTCATTTATTGCCTCATAGTGCACTTTCTTGCTATTTTTATGAATTATGTTGGCTACTTGACTGCTCATATTGGAAAATATTGGCAAATTTTCTATATTCTCAACTTTCCATTATTTATCATCTTTTTGATGTGCTTTCATTTACAAAATGTAAGGTACCCGGTGTCCCTGTAATCTATGGTTTGAGAAACTCTCTTTTTCTTGAGCAACCTTCTTTGAATCAAAAAGAATTTGTCAAATCGACTGAAGAAAAACGGCTGCATATGGATGAATCAGAATATCAAAAAATATGGAAGAGGGGACTAAAAGAAAAATTGACATCAGCTGGAGCAGTTTCTACTTCCATGGAAGAGTTCGCAAAAACAAATAGGAGCAATTCGATGATAACACTTGGTGCGGTTGATAAAGTTAGATTAAAAAAGAGAAGGGCAAAGGTCAGTATTTGTTCTTTTTATTGTTTGTTATTATGCTAATAAACAACTTGACGAATCATTTTACTGATTCATTTATGTTAAGGTTTAAAATTGTACAATTGAGTATTGAGATTTTTTGTTCATGAGACGAGGCGAAAGCCTCAAGCTGTTTTGAGGCATAAGCCTCAAAATTCAAAAATTATGTAAATTGAAAATAGATGTTAAAAGTGATTTTTTATTTAGTACTCAAATAATACGTTAAAGGATGATATATTAACTTTTTATTAAATTATGAAGTAATAAATTGGTATACATATGAAACAAAAAATTGCACAAGACGTAAAGTGATAAATAATAAATTGCGTGAAATAAATTGAAATTTAAATATTATAAAAGCAAAACAACATAAAATATATGAATTGCATAAAAATATTATATAACATCAAGTTCAATTCCAAATTCATTATTTCTCAGTACAACTCAAAAATCATTTGTATTATCACTTTAGTGAGGGGGTATTTATTTGAGTCATCGTCGTAACAAATTGGTCTCTCTCCTGGGCATCCATTGAAATCTCATGCCTCCCAATATGTTTCTTCTTTATTTATTTCAGTCATCTGTCTCTTTTATAAATGTTTGTCATCAATATAAACATGAGAGTACATTTTCAAAAATTTTAGAGGAGGTGGTGGTGGTGTGTAGCTTTCAAGTGATCATCGGCGGCGGCTTCGATAGTGGTGGCCGCAGCGAAGCTGGTGAGCTGGAGGTCAAGGCAATCGAGAGGAAGTTGTTGCGGCTTTGGGTTGAAGGCTTGATTTGTTCGGGATTTTAGTTAAGGTTTTAGGTTAGTTTTAATAAAAATTATATTAATATGGTGAGTTGTATGTCTCATGCTAGCGAGATGGGCTCGCATCAAGGAGCCTATTGGCCAAACCGAGGCAAATGCCTCATAGAACAAGCTAAGCCTCGAGACATTTTTCACTGGAATTGTGCTGAGGCGGGCTTCATATTGCACAATTTTAAACAATAATTTACATGTCTTTTTACACAAATGTGAGTGTTATTTTATCGATATAGACACAAATTAAATAACCTTACCTTTTAAGGAGATTATTTCTTTCATTTTTTTGTTTTTTGCATTCACAATAGGGCACAATGCAGACATGACCAAGTTATTTCTTTCTTAACTGAAGTTTATTATTCTTTCTATTTAGCCTCACCTCATGCATATTTTAGATTTATCATGATGTGTATGCTTAAATTTGTTTATTTTTAATAGTTGACTATAAAATTGATTGTGCTAATCATATGAGAATAAAATTTAAGAATCATACAATGAAGTTAAGATAGCGAGAAAATGAACACCCACAATCATGCCCCAGCACCTTCTCGATATCTCATCTTTGTCCAACATCATCTCAACATCGACGACCAACATCGTCTCGACATCGAGGGCTGATGCTATCTTGCATCAATGTCCGATTCTTATTGCACAACATTGATGCCTAACTCTCGACAATATTGTCATCTCCCCGTTCCATGCTTGACCCGACATCCATGTTTGACTCTCAACATTCTAATATTAATAATTTCAAGCACAAATCTTTTTTAAATGACTTATTATTTCTGAATTATTCTTAATATTCTGCTTATTCAATTTATATACGCTATTTTTAAGATATAAAAATTACAATACCACGTCTGACCCGTGTTTGTGTCATATATTTTCAATAATTGACGTGTCTCATATCCGTGCCATGTCATGTTTGTGCATCATAGGTGTTAGTGTCCATAATTAATTGCTTCTCTTAATATGGAAAGTATTATTGATCACAGTTTATGGTAATTCCGTTTCATGACCCATGCACTACAACATGCATGGGAAATAGTTGTGAGGATAGATGATAAACTATATTAAGATCCTATGTTTTTGTCATATAGGTGATGCAAATATTAAAGTTTTAAAATGTCAAATATGGATTAATATTTAATATTTGTGAAACAAATATTGATTATCTAATACACACTTTAATGGGCCTAAAATTATTAATCACGAGGAAGAATTTCTTGAAGACTAATTAATACCTTGATGTTAAATTATCTTGAATTCATAATATGATAAAAATGAGGCTCTAGATGATGATACAAGTTAAAAAAAAAAGCTCCGTGTTTAAAATGCAAAGTTTCTTAGGACTATTATATAATACAGAATTTTATGCTGATTTAAAAATTGAATTTATAAACTAACTATGTTATATGGATCTAACTATTGGGTGATAAAGAAGTTATTTAGAAAGTGAATTTATAAAGTGAATTTAGAAAGTGCGACTCATATAGTGACACATCATTCCTGATTGGTTGAGCCATTGGGTCAATTTTGTTTGTTTTAAAATACATTTTATGTAATTAATTTGATGACCCGTTCGGGTTTCAGTGTATAGGGTTGACTTCATAGGATCTTCCCTGACCTTTGTCTGGGTTAATCAACCATGTTCAAGGCTCCCGATGAACTTGTTTTTGCTCTAAGATCAGTAGATCACTATTGGATGATTGAGGAATGCAGATAAGTGGAGAATATTAGGGCGAGGGATGGTGTTGCCTTCATTTCTTGTTAACGCTTCCTGGATGCTTGGCCTTGTAATTCATGGAAATTGTTGTATGAAAATGCTCACCGAAAGGCCTGTTTGCTCCATCTTCACAATAACTTATGCATTTAAGGTAATGGAGGGAATAACGATTGAGAGGGATTTGTGGTTGAGCTAACCAAAGGAGATGAAGCGTTGCACGTCGGTGTACATAATTGCTTCCTATGGCCTCAATGGGATACTCTGCTTGTAAGGGGAGGCTTTGGATGTTGGAGTTGTTGATTTAGAGTGCAGAATTCAACAACATTTGTATAAGCCATTTAGGAAAAACAGACAAATGGGTTGTGACAACTTCATGTCTCTTTTTGTCATTTTAGAGTCATGGTATAAGGTGATGCCAAGATGAACAGGAATAGGTGTTGAAGTAGTTTTGTATCTTCTTTGAATTTTTTGGAATTGTGGGATGTGAGTGAATTGATTATGACTACATATATGGATATTGCATCCTGTTAGACTTGACAATGTTCATGTGGGTTTTGAATGAGTTAGAGGTGGCATTGTTAATGTGGTTAGTGAGGGAATTGGAGGTAGTAAGAGGGTGGGGTTGGTTTATGCAGCCTCATTACCCCATATGGGATGATGAATAGGCAATGAGTTGGTTTGACAAATTAATGCTGTCAAGTATTTCTCACATGGTATGAATTGGACACAATAACATCTTTTTTTTTAAATCATTTTAAATGTTTCTAATTCCAAGAAATAGGGAGGTGAAGAAAAACTTGAATTATGAACCTTAAGAGTCCAAAGCCTTTAGCTTGAGTAAATCTAAAACCGAATATATGAAGTGTAATTTTAGTAGTAATAGATCTAATGGTGGGAGGATTGGGTAATCAAGTTATTAAAAAAGAGGGCATGTTTTAGATATCTTGAGTCTATTGTTTAAAGGGATGATGAAATAGATGGGAATATATCATATTATTTTTAGAATTCAAGTTGGATGGTTGAAGTAGAGGTATGCATCGAACCTATTGTGTGATAGAAAAATGCCCTCAAAATTAATGGAAAATTTTATAAGATGGTGGTGAGACTTGTAATGCTTTATGGCACAAAATGTTGGTCATTTAAAGAGAAGCATAAAATTAAATTAAGTGTTGCAAAGATGAGGATGCTCAGGCTGATGGGTGGCTTTACACTTAGAAACATAATGCAAAATGAGTATATTCGTGAAGATGTTGGAGTAGCTCCAGCGGAAAATACAATTAAAGTGAGTCACCTTAGATGGTTTGGTCATATAAAACGTCGACTCTCCAATTACTTTGTTAGGAGAATATATGTATGAGATCCGGCCTGTGCTAAGAATGGTAGAGGAAGGCCTAAAAAGATTTGAAGGGGAGATTCAAGGGTAACTTCGGAGGGTGGGGAAGGAAGAGCTGGTGTGGCGCGTCAAAGGCCTTCACGCAATGCCGCTAAAAGGAAGGGTGGCGAGTGGGAGAAGAATTCCTCCCTAAGGGTGTGGATATGGTCTATAGCCAAAATAAGAAGTCAGTTAGAAAGTATTAAAAATTATCATTTTTATTAGATTCAAATGAGAATCTGACTCTTAATATGACACAACAAAGAAAAAGAATTCATGTAACTGATCCCACATAGGGGATAAAGGTTTGTTGTTGGTTTTGTTGTTATAATTCCAATAAATTTAGGAATTATGAAAATAGTGATTAGCTTGGGGATTAATTCAACCTTTGGCTCAATTATTTACACAATTTTTTGTTAATTATCCCATTTAAGCTAATTAAAGTTAATTGAGTAAACTTTGGTCCTTCAAATGAGCACCTAATATCTAAGGACTGGAGAAACTTCATATTGGAATTTTGTTAATGGCATCTTTTCCTTAAAAGATTTTTTTATCACTGAAGCTGATCTCAAGGCAACTCAACCATCATGAACGTTTTGACCTTTATGATTGACCTTTTGACGTAGTCCTTACGTTGTCAAAGATCATCCATTTCTTTTCTTCTCAAAATTTATTATTTGAAGTACTAAACTGATACAAGTTCTCTAGCTGCAAGTTACATCATGTCCTAAAGAGAATTTACATCAGATGCTTTGTTAATTTATGTTTCATGCATGATTTGATTAATGAGGTGCATCACCATATCGATTTTGAACTCTTAAAGTTTAAGAACATTATTGAACTAAAGTTTTCAATTAGGATTTATCCCAGTGGTCAAATATTTTGTCACCTGAAGCAAAACATTTTTAGGCTTATATTGTGGTTCTTGTAAAGCATTACATGTTCAGGTTCTGTTTCTTCATTTAATGAAAACTGGTGCCTAAAGAAATATCTTCTGTGAAAATGCTCATTTTGCAGGGCCCGAACCCACTTTCATGCAAGAAGAAGAAACAAAATGAGGGCGCTTCAGTGACAAAGAATCAGGTGATGTATTTATCACTGTTGCCTTTATAAAAAAAATAAAATCAATTGCCCCTCTAAAGAAATAATTTTTTTATTATATGATTATTTAGATAATTTGTCCTATTCAATCTATTTTTTAGTCTTTATTACAAGGGTTTTTAGACAATCCTCCTCCCCCCCTAAAATTTTTAAAATAATATGGTCTTTAGGCAATTGCCCCCAACAAATAGTAAAGAGAATTCATCATTTTATTTATTAATTTTAATTCCAAAAATATCTTTACAACCAAAATTTGTTTCGGGGGCGCTGCCCTCGAAAAACCCCGCAGGTCAAACCGTGCCCCCCTTGGACCCCTGACATATTTGCGAAGCCTATGACGATCAAGGATATGAAAAAATATGAGTCAAACCAAATTGAAGGCAACTCCTGGACTCCCTTGAATCCCCGACAATTACTTATAAATTCCGCCCCCTGGTTCCTTTGGGACTGCTTTCTTTAACTGCTGCTTAAATCAACTTTTTTTAAAGTTTCTTTAAGAAGCAATATAAAAGTCGTCCCAAATGACGCCTTAAAGTGCAGGCCTGACCATGATTCATCTCCTTGACAACAGATCATATGCTTAAAATTCAATTATGTTGCATTCGTTTTCATCATTGACAGCCATAATCTCATTTATTATCATAAAAAGTTTTGGTTTTATTTTCTGATGCGTTATCCTTCTGTTTTCAGAACGGATTGGCCGCTGGGACTCTTAACAAGCGAAAGAGGAACCGAAAAAGGAAGAGAGAGGATAAGGAGAGCAAATCTGAGCAGCCCAAAAGCTAGGTTTCACCATTATGATCGGATCAAAGTTAAGTCGCATAAACTCTTTGCAGCTCATTAATGTTAAATCCAGAAAACGAGATTTGTTAGTGCTAAGAAAATTTTGTTTAAAATATAATGCAGATGTTTCCCATCCAAAATCCAATAATTTAGGTATTATTATCTGAACCTTTCTTGATAATTATAATATTTTGATCTTGGGAAGAGGAGCTGATCTTATTAATATAACCTAGGCTTCGTTCGGGGCAGTTTTTTGCTGCTTCTTAAAATAGCTTTTTAGTTAAATTTTTAATTTTTATGTTATTATTTTGAGAAGCATTAAGAAAGCCGTCCCAAACAAATATCTTTTTTATTGTTTTTTTTTATATATATTTTTTAGTATAAAATTTTTTGTCCTAGAAAGATGTTTTAAAAAGCATTAAGATAAGCAGTCCCAAACGAAGCCTAGGGTGTGCTGTTTTGTGATGCGAGGTAGAAAAAATGCCGAATTTATGGGATGGTAACAATATTTATCTAATAAATTTTTTTTAAAGGTACAAAAAAAGTTTATTATCATAAAATTTTAATTAATTTATTCTATTTTAGAACTATATATAAGTGTGCATAAATATTTTCTATCATTTATAAATGTCCGAACACGTTACATTCTTTTGTTTAACTCATAGTATTTATCTTATAATTTTCTTTATTATTCTTATTTATCTTATCATGAAAAAGGTGGCATATAACATATTAATATATATAATTTTGATAAAATGTATCAGTGTAAGAAAATGTAATATGTGGGTTCTCAAATTTTTTTTCATTACATGATTAGTAATTATTTATAGGAGTTATTATAAATAAACATTAAATATAGATGAAATTTTGGTCATTTTTTGGGAAGAAAAATGAATAAGAATATTGCACATATATAAAAACATAACGAAAGCAAGTAACAAATTCATTATCATTGGGTGGCTCATTAGCTTGTGCTAAAAGATGGGCAGTGCCCATGTAACCTCTTAAATATTTTAAAATGAAAAAAAATATAAAAATTTTGAAATTTCTAAACTCGAGCGCTATAGTGTTGGATAATTTGGTGCTTCGATACCCTAGTCTTGAAAAATTAAAAAATAATTCGGCGTGGTGGCGCCGGGATATTGAACGCAACGGCGTCATGAGTTAGCATGTAGCGTTGCGATGTTTGAGCATTGAGGCGTTAGCCCTGAAACATTGTTTTTATATATATTAAATCTTAAGCATGTAAGAGGGAGAGGAAGAGGAAAGAGGGAAGAGAGAGAATGTTGGGTTTTAGTTATTTTTGTTCGTTGCTTCAGTTGAGAAAAGTCTTTTGATCATAGTAAGTAACATAAAACCTATTTTTATTTTCAATTATTTTATATCTACTGATTTAATTTTTTCTAAAAAAATAAATAATGCATTTTCTCCTGATTTATCGCACTTTTAAGTGTGTGTAGCTTTTTTTATATGAGAGATAAGATTGATATTGACATGTTGACGGCAATATTATAGAATTTTATAGGATAAATGAAAGTTATGATTTTCTGAAGTCATTAGCTAGTATATAAATTTTCCTATATTTTATAGATTAATGCATTTCATGTTTCATTTCATACATTAAAGAAATACTAATACCATTGATTCAAGAACAATGTGGTATTGTATGTAAGCAAGGGAGGTTGGTAGTTAACGCTAGAATTAATATGAGTTGACTCTTAAAACATAATATCATAATTTCCTTAAAATAAAAAGGTTTGTGATGTGATCCTGATTGTAGTCTATAACCAATGAATAAATTACGTTGATGGGTAGAGAGTGACAACACTTTATAGATTATTGAGTCCCTTGCTGAACTATATGACATTGATAGCATATAATTGATTCATGCATATACAATTTCATGGTTTTATAGATTATAGATGATTATATCAGGCATATGTCAACACTACTTATACATAGCATATTGATATAACTCTTGCATGTTTATGACTCACCTTAGTGATAGACTAATAATATTGAATTATTACAATATATATGTGTTGTTCCTTACAATAATGATTTATTGATTATTGATGTATTTACGTTCTCGTACCTATTAATGATTTATGGATTTCAATTTAATGATTCATGCTTTTCATTATTGATCATATTGATTTGAATTAGTGACAACTGATCATTGATGATATTAAAAGTTATTTATTCTAGTGATTGAAATGAGCATGCATATTGACTCTTGAATCGTATATTAAAAACTTTGCTGAGTTTTGGGTTTACTGTGCTTTGCAAGCTGATTATATGATTTTATTTATTTCAGGTCAGAAAAGTGGGTAGTACTCTATGGAGTGAGGTTGATTGAGATATTTAGGTTTCTCCTTTTGTTATTTTTGTTTTATTTATTCCTTTTGTAATCAAGAGCTTGAAATAACAAAAAAAGAAAAAAAAAAAAGTGAGATATTTAAGTGGTTCAATATTATGTCATGCATCCTTGTAAAGAGTCAAGAGAAAGTATTAACTAATAGAATGAAATACAATAATAGATCTTTGAGAATATGCAAGTCTCTCTTTCTTTCTCTTCATACACACACATACAAAAGGCAAAGACTAAGGAAATAAATTATAAATAGAAGGTATAAATTAGACATCCATTAATGGTTAATAGGGAACATTAAAATTCATACGATGATAAGAAATTCATTTAAAGTTTCGCTTAGTTACAGAAGAGACTAGGTGATTAAGAAGATAAAAATTAGACATCATGTCACAACCCAATTTAATATGACCCACAGATAAAATATATCGTGTTAAATGATGACAGGCTAAGTCGCACGAAGATCAAGGTTTTAGAAACTTTTTAGATTTTTCCTTTAGATTAAAAAGACCATGTAGCTTTTAATTTAACTCCCAATGAGCAGAAAAATGAACTCATTCATAAATTTTTATTACAAGCATTCATCATCAAAATGTCTATATTATAACCATACACTACATTTCATGGCTACAAATTAAAATATAGCAAATAAATAAACAAATAGCCAAGACATTATAATAAATAGAAAATGCCTATACAAACTCAGACGGATCAAAGCCTAAAACTATATTTACTCAATTGACTCTTTTCATTTTCACTAATCTGAAATAGAATGTATAATATGTGTGAGCTAACACACCTCAGTAGGTCACACCCACTTATTTAAATTTTTAAATATTTTACTTATTATACATTTAACTGAGTTTTTAAAACAGTTAATAATAATTTACTATACTGAACAAAATAATGTTTGTAGTTATTAGAGATTTAAATAACAATGCAATGAAAGTAATAAGTAAGTAACTCATATATCAGAATGAAAAATAACATATTTTCATGAGGCCATATACCTCCCATTTGAAACAAATATCAGAATTCAGGAAATTATGACTCCATGTGTCAGCTTATCATAAATTAGTCTTTTATGACTCCCAATGCTTAGCATATATCAAATATTCATATCATTATGACTCTCTGTGCATCGCTAATAATAGAACTTCCTCCAACATCGAAGTTTCATAGAATCACACATTTTAATCAGATGAAAACATATATCATTACATTACTATAAAAGAAATACAAATATATCACAAAATACTTTAGTAGTTAATTAGTAGAATTTTATAGTTTCAGAATTTTGCCACATTACCAAGAATTGTTAAGAACATTATTTTGAAGCTTCAATGACACTAGAACATTATTTTTTGGAATCCAAATTATTTTCTAAATAGATAAGAATAACATATTTTTCAAATTATCCAATAAAAATTTTCTAGAAAAATATCAAATATTCAAAATAATCATATCAATAATATACATAAAGTTACATAATAAAAGTTTAATGGGTGTGAAGTTATCCTCATTTTTTCTATGAAATTATAAATTTAATCAGGAAAATTCTAGACTTTTCATATTTTTGAAAATTGATATTAAAAAAATGTAACTTGTAATACCTACAAAGGAGATCACCATTCCACATGTTATGATATGATTCAAGATAATCTATTGAATTTCTACATTTGAACTCTTTTCCATATGTTTGAAAATAGTTTGCATGTGTTCCGAGTGGGTCCCCTGGGTCTATGCACAAGTTTTGCAAATTTGAAAATTTTCTCCTAGGACATCACAATGCTGGGGTAGGTTGGTGTTTTAGCTTTGTGCTCTCCATTAAATTCAAATGCGGGCACTAGGGTGACGTTGCGATGCTTTAGGCTCCTAGATGGAGCATCGCAACGAGCATGATTGGGCATTGCGTCACTCTATCAAATTTTAATATTAAAATATCACGTATACTAAATCAATTTATTTCATCCACTTGAGTCACCCAGTTAAAGAGAGTCAATTTTAGGGGACTTCAGTCGGTTTTTAGCTTACATCCTAGTTCTACAAGTTTTGCGATTCGACGTAGGTTAGATTTTGTCTATCTTACTTTTTAAAAATGCATAAATTTTAAAAATATTTTGATTTAATTTATAATTTCGTTAGCAAAAAAATGGATAACTTGATATCTGCAAAAAAAATTTATCTATAACTTTATGTATAACATGAATATGGTATATGAAAATTGTCCATGAATATGTTATTGGCAATGCTAGTAGGTATGAAAATGATGATATTTATGATGGTATGGTTATGATGGTAGATATGAAAATAATGTTGGTATGTTTGAAATTGGAGGTAGGATTATTTATTTTGGTCTCTCCATCTCATCTCCATAAATAGATTTGTTACTTGATTTTGAAATAAAATTTTTTTGCTTGAGTTATTTACTCTTCTTGTGTACTTGACTCCCAAAGTGAAGGACTAATTAAGTGGTTGAGTTCATAATCCTTAAATAACGACTTCTATGGATGGAACGGGATCTTTGCAATGACAAACTATTGGATCCAACAACGAACGAGCGATAATAGTTGTTGGTATTAGTTGATGGTGGTGAAGGCGGATGGGCGACAATGGTCATCGAAGGACAAGCAATAATGATGATGAACATCCAATAATGATCGTTGGCATCAATCAACAAAGATGATATATGCTAATATCAGAAGTCAATTGTTAGGAGATGGTAGTCATTGTCGCCCTAACCAATATGATCAATAAAAGTAAAGAAATTTGAACATGTGAAATCCCAAAGATAATTGATTTATGTTCTAAATGGTGATAAGAGATTTATAATTCTCAAACTTCAAGAATTCTCTAAGCAAAAAATTCTCCTAAAATATATAAGAATGAGACATATTATTCACCTCATAGAAATGCTTATTTCAATATAAGAAGACAAGTTCAATGTTTGACCTTGCAAATAATCACTAGAGATTGTATTATATTAATATTACAACAAATTTAATTATTTTAATATAATTTATATTAAAATACCTATTTTGGTTACATTACCACATGATATTCATTAGGGGTGTCAATTTTTTACACGACCTGAACCCGATCGGGAAAAATTCGGGTTCGGGTCAACCCGAACCCGAAACGGGTCTGGTTCGGGTTGACCCAGCAACCCGAAATTAACCCGAAAAATTGACCCGAAAGTGACACGAAAACTCATATTTGACCCGAAAACCCGACCCATTTTTGACCGAAAAATCGAAGATTGACCCGATTTTTGACCGAAAACTAGTAATTTTGGGTCAACCCGGGTCATTCGTGTCGGGTCGAGTTAACCCGGACCCGAATCGGGTCGGGTTCGGGTCCGAAAACCTGACCCGTTTTTTAAAACTGGTCAGATTTGGGTTGACTCAAATAGTGCCGGGTCAGTTTCAAATTCGACACGAATCTGATTAGTTGGCCTGAATTGACACCCTTAATATTCATCACAGCTTATGACAACTCAAATTTGCTTATAATATTGCTTTTTCGCTTTTATGAGTATTTCATTTTTTCGAGTAATTTATGGAATTAAATAAATAATTCATTTTAATCTGTGCGTCCCCTACCCCGTCCTGCTTCCCGTCCTCCTCGGGTTTCCTTTAATCCCATTGTCACTCTCGCAGCACGGGAAAGATCAAAATGGGGTTCGATGCGTCGTAGACTCGTAGAACTCCGATCCTTGCCAGATGGTTCCCGGCGGCGCACGTCTCGTCCGGTTACCTTCTTTTCGATATCTCCGTCTGTAACTAGGGTTCCGTTCATTGATTAATCTAGGGACTAGGCCACAATTGTTGGCCTTTTGACGCGATCCGATCAACGAGGAGTAGAAGGATGTTCAACAAGATCATGAAACGAGGGGGCCGAAAGGGCCCCAAATCCGAAGGGAACGAGCCCACCGTATTCTCCAGCGCTTACCGCTCGGCCGGCGGTTCCGTTGTGTCGGCTTCGAACGTCACTGTAAACCACGCATCTCGTCCCACCGCCGCTGCGGTGAGCCCCCAGACACAGACGCCGCTGGGCTCCGCCGGCGTCACCGGCGTCATACCCCCGATCGAGAACCTCCCTCTCTTCCGCGACGTGCCCGTGCCTGAGCGCCAGACCCTCTTTCTACGAAAGCTCCAGATCTGCTCCATCGTATTCGAGTTCTCCGACTCCCTTAAGTTCGCGCGCGAGAAAGAGACCAAGCGGCAGACCCTCGTGGAGCTCGTTGATTTCATCCACTCTGGCTCTGGTCGCCTGTCTGAAGCAGTTCAGGAGGAGCTCATTCGCATGATTGGCAACAACATCTTCCGCTGCCTGCCCCCGACTTCTCATGAGAACACCGGCTCGGAGAACGCTGATCCTGAGGAGGAAGAATCTTACCTCGATCCAGCCTGGCCTCATCTCCAGATTGTCTACGAGCTCCTTCTTCGATATGTCGTATCGTCCGATACCGATACCAAGATCGCCAAACGCTACATTGATCACTCTTTTGTTCTCCGACTTCTTGATCTCTTCGACTCTGAGGACCCACGTGAGCGCGAGTATCTCAAGACCATTCTCCACCGCATCTACGGCAAGTTCATGGTCCATCGTCCGTTCATTCGCAAGGCAATCAACAATATTTTCTATCGGTTTATCTTTGAGACTGAGAGGCACAGTGGGATTGGGGAGCTACTTGAGATTCTGGGTAGTATAATTAACGGTTTTGCGCTTCCAATGAAGGAGGAGCACAAGCTATTTCTGGTCCGAGCACTTATCCCACTCCACAAGCCGAAGGGAATGGCGGCTTACCATCAGCAGCTCTCGTACTGTATCACTCAGTTTGTGGAGAAGGATTTTAAGCTAGCGGATACTGTCATAAGGGGCTTGCTTAAGTACTGGCCAGTCACCAACTGCCAGAAGGAGGTGCTCTTCCTAGGAGAACTGGAAGAGATTCTAGAGGCGACTCAATCAGCCGAATTTCAGCGTTGCATGGTTCCACTTTTCAAGCAAATTGGAAGATGCCTCAATAGTTCTCATTTTCAGGTAAATTGGTCTTAATTCTTACATGATATAATCTGCTACTGATCGTATTTTACTTATATAGTCTGTTTGGCGTTTATCTTAAATGAGTAAAAAGAAATCAAATGGGGGATTGTGACTTTGGGCGATCAAATCATTAATAAGAGTACACATTTTAGATATCTCGGATCTATTGTCTAGATTGATCGTCAAATAGATGGAAATATTATTAGTAGAATTCAAGTTGGATGGTTGAAGTGAAGGAATGCATCGGACCTATTGTGTGATAGAAACATATCTCTCAAACTTGAGGAAAAATTCTATAAGATGATGGTGAGACTTGCAATGTTTTATTGCGTAGAAGGTTGGTCATTAAAGGAGAAGCATACAATTAAGTTAAGTGTTGTAGAGATGAGAATGCTTAGGTGGATGAGTGGCTTTACTGTTAGCAATAAAATGCAAAACAAGCATGTATGTGAAAAGGTTGGAGTAGCTTTAGTGGAAAATAAGATTAGAGAGAGTCACCTTAGATGGTCTGATCACATAAAGCGTTGGCCTTATGATGACCCAGTTTGGAGAGTAGATATATTAGATTTGGCCTTTGTTAAGAGAGGTAAAGATAGACTAAAAAAAATTTGGTTAAAAAATATTAGAAATGACTTTTTTATTAGATTTAAATAAGAATTTGACTCTTAAATGGACACAATGGAGAAATAGGATTCATGTAGTTGATCCCATGTAGTGGGATGAAGGCTTGATGATGTTGTTGTTGTTGAGTAAAAAGAAGTCAAATGAATTTCAATGCACATTTTATCGCATGAAGCTTCAATTTGGTATTATTAGTATGGTGTTAGTATCGTCCCTAATTGAATAGGGATGATGCCAAATACATAACTAGTTGCCTTATTATGAGTATGCTTGTTGATGGTGGTTCTTTATCATAGGTTCAATGCATTTATGACCAATGACAAGGTAGTTAATGATGCACTTGCAGATGTAATTAGCTCTTTTGTAGAGTAAATGCATCTGTTTAGTATAAGTATAGTACTGAACTTTTATTAAGATGATACTTGTCAATGGAGAGTAGCACCCCATAGCACAAAGATTATCATGTAGAACCATAATGCATAGTGTGGCATGTGCTATTTTAAAAATAGCACAAAATATTTAAAAAATTCAGGAATAATATATTACAAATTCAACAACATAAAAGAAAAATATCCTAATGCAAATAATGCATTTTAAATTTCATAGAAATAGACCATAAAATTACTTTATTATATTAAACATGTGCATCAAGAGTCTGTGCAATTTATTATCATTATTTAAATTTCGTGATGGTAACACAAAGTTCATGTGATTATATAATTTAGGTGAATGCTAATGAGTTATTGGAATAGAAAGGTGAAGCAACAATAATAGAAAATAGTTTCAATCAACTCTAAATTGACATGATTAAATAGCAATCCTTGACTTGAATAAATTTGCTGAAGCTATGCCAATCTTATTTCAAACATGTTTGATCAATGACTTAACCTTCAGAAGTCATACTTGATCCAACCACTTTATGCATGCATTCAAGAGTTTAGCTTGATAGGCAAACAATAAAAAAATGATTATGAATAGAGTTTAAAGAGGAAAAAGAATTTGTTGGATGTATATCAGGCTAATTAGCAATCAATTTTAATTAAGACTTGAGCATAATATGTGCTAATCCTTTAAATATGTCATAATTTATCAATCATATTAGATTATATTTACACTTCTAAAGATTTTTGCTTGATACTCATATCCACAAGCCAGAGTAAAATAAGACAAAGCAATTCATTTCGTTCAGAGGAAAAGCTTTGGGAGATTAATGAATGTTTAAATGACTAAACAAAAGGCAAGGATGATGATTAATATAAAAAATAGGGGGATTGACATACATACTACTTAATATCATGCTATTTATATATATGACACCCAAAATTTTAATATTTCATGCCTACCATCCATAGACAACTTTAAAATCAAATATGTCACTCATGTATTTTATTCTTATCACCCATATCACCTTATAAATTTTAATAATTCATTCCTTGCACCCATGTTTGATCTATGGGTGATAGACATGAAATATTAAAGCTTTGGGTATTGGATTTATAAATAACATAATATAAAGTGGTAATATTACATAAAAAATATATTTACCATTTTTTTAATTAAAGATGCTAAAAGGGAGAAAAATTACAATCAGCCGAACTTAAGGATATAAACATCCTTAATTAATGCATCAATAATAAGATATGTCCTTATTCCTCATATAAATAATGATAAATATAAATGTGTAGCTTTTATGTGATTTTTTTTTTTTTGCGGATTATTGTACAACAATTGAGTACTATAAGTTAAAACCCTATATTTCTACAAATCTTTCATGCCATGCCTGTTAGATTGTAGATGAAATACATTTGTATGAGATATAAGCTTAGTAGCATAAACACTCATTATGCTACCGCCTAAACACAACAAAGTTTTTTTTTTTTCACGCAAGTAATTTAAATAAATAAATAAATTTAAAAAATATAAAATGAACTATTAAAACAAATAGTATTTCATGTGCGCTATACCACATAGCGTGCATTGTTATGTTTTGTTGCTCCTTGCCATGCAAATAACATATGAGACAATGGTTAAAATTGTGTAGTGCCTTATTTGTATTTTCTAATAAGAGAATATTATGGAAACTTAAAAGTAGTTTTTTTTTTAAGTTGTAATTAGGTTGGATTTTTTAAATGCATAGTGTTATGTGATAAAGAAAACACTGATAGCCCAATTAGGTGTTAAAGAACTAAGAATGTTGGTATGTGCAAAATATATAGGATGATAAGATTGAGAAATGATTTTATTAAAAAATAGTGTGAATTACACCTGTTGAAGATAAGATAGTGAATAATAAGTTTATATGACTTGAACATGTAAAGAGAAGGGTTGAAAATGTACTAATAAGATAGGCACATAAAATAATTGTCGAATGTTTAAGATGAAAGAATGTTAGACTAAAGGTAACATAAGTAGAAGTTCTGCCAAACTATTTTGAAGAAGCTAGCTCCTCATGCAATACCCAAGTTGAATGAATGGTAAATGATGATTTGTATAGTTAACTCTAAATACTCGGGATAAGGCTAATTATGTTTTTGATTGCTCTAGTTTGAGTGGACAATCAAATAATTTAGTTCTTGTCTTTCAAATTATTTTTAATTTGGTTGAGGATTTTTATTTATAGTAATATACTAATATATAAACGAGGAATTCGATGTCTAAGATAAATCTTACCTATGATTGCTATATTGAGGATTGACACACACTATTGAAACAAGTCAAACAAAATTGGAGGACAAAGGTGTGATATATGCCATGCATCCACTTGTGTTATCCTAAATCTCATTGATAGGGTAGATGATGTAACATAGTTATTAAATAAATATCGTAATTTTCAACATATTTTATATGTGTACTAAATGATTTGTTACTTCCTCCATTTTTAGTTGTAACATGTTTTCAATAAGTGTTTTAGTTCTCAGTTTATAAAAGGAGTGATAGTCTTTTATGACGGATTATTACGTGATGAATTGATACTTGAAATTATATGTAACCCCTTTTTAGAGATTTTCACCTTTTTAGGGTTTGCACTTATACTTTGTTTCTATCCCTTGACTAGCTCCTCTTGATTTGTTCAACAACAGCAACAACAACAACAACAAGAATGCTTTTTCTCCATTGTGTCTTGTTAAGAGTCAAATTATCATCTAAATATAATAAAGAATGGTTATTTTCCTCTTGAACTGTTCATTTGTTTAATTTCTTTCTTATCTTGCATCTGCATGCCATCTCACATATGTGATCTTCCACTCCATCCTCTCCACCTGAGTGTGCACAATCACAAATCACATCCCGCAATTTACTTGTTCTATGCAACACACTTGCTGCCCCTTCCTTGCATGTCGCACTTGATAGATATCCATCAGCTCAACCACATTACTAGTTATCAACCAAAAACCACCTTAAGAGGGTCGAAATGAGTAGTTTAATCCTATACTGAGCGTAAATTAAAAAAAAAACAAGATAATACGCTAGCTTCATTAAGCTTAATTAGGTTCAAGCTTCAAAGTTCAAAGTGTCGGCTTTTATTAGTTGTTATCATTAAGATCTCTAAAAACTTCCAGATAATTTTTTTAGGGATCTAGGAAAAGACTTGTTTGTTGATATTGAGGATATAATGATGTTATTACTCTTCATTTTTCTTTTGAAGAATTCTCTATTTTTTGGCTCATCTCTAGGATGGATTTTTCATTCATCTACCAACTTCGGGGAGAATTTTGCTAGCTTTACGGCATAATTGAAGACATCAAGTTCTTTCTTTAGTAATATTTCAACTTTTCAAAGTAAAGTTCTTTAAAGGCCCAACAAATTGATGCAATACAATTCTTACATTATCCTTCTCCCTTTTCTATCACTTTTTCACCCCAAAATTTATTCTCTTATCTCTCTTTCTCTCTTTCTCTCTTTTGAGAGGTGTGGGGCATCTCTAGTCGGAGAAACAATGTTTAGAGAAAAATCTATTTTCTTTACTTAACAAGTGGCACAAATTTCACATCTCTCTTTCTCAAATTATTTTGTAGAGGGATTGATGGTTTTGGTTCTAAATATAGTTTAGATGGTGTTATAATTAGGATGTGATTTGGCTTTTTATTTAATAACTTGATTAACAAGGCAGCACAAATTTTTTTGCTATGACACTACTATAATGTTTGGTACCAGCAGTTCTCTCTTTTTGTCTGTGCACTTCCTCTTTCTTTCTCTATCATCAAAACATTGAATGCTGCATTTAATAGAAATTAGATTAATTAGGGTTTAATTAATTAAATTTTCAATTAGTGCCCCCATAAATTATCAAGTTATTTTTTTTTTACTTTTTTATTTTCAATTTTATTTTTTGTAATGATTTTCAATAAAGAAAAATAAAATATAAATAGGTGTTAGCAAGATGAATCAGACTAACTTAATGGGATGGGCATGCAACTGCTTCGCTTTTTTTTTTTTTTTACCTCTTATCCCAAATAGTTGTAATTGCTCTTAAAATTGTTGAAATCGGCATTTCCTCCAATTTATGACGACCCACACCAACCAGAACTACACTCTTTGGTGCTATGTCAACTTCACCATTGGACCTAGAGTGCCCCACCCCTTTATGCCTAAAAAGACTTCTTTGAAGTTCCCAACATGGAGATTCTACAACGGCGATGTCCCCTCTTTCATTATGAAGACAAGACTTTGTCACTATCCATCGTTCGACATCATACAGGCCTGCTACCCTCCAACAAGCTTTACATGCATGACTTTCCTCTGCTTCGTCACCTTTAGTTACCTCATACAACATACTCATCAATACTTCTTAGGGCATCATCAGCCTTGCAAGCCCTTAAGCGATCTTGAATGATATGCTGTTGATATCGTCAAAAATGCCTTTTAAAGCTAAGAACTTCGAACATGCCACTCA